GCCCCACGGGACACCCACGATGATGTTCTGGGGACCCCAGGGCCCCTTTCTCCCCCCTGGGGCTGCCAAGGGAGGGTGAGCTGCAGAGGCAGAAATGTTTATTGAATAAAATGACGGGGGGGATGCCCCTCACAGGCCCCAAGCTGGGCAGCAGGCGAGGACAGCCAGGGCCGTCGTGTCCTTTGGGTGTCGGTGCGATGCTCAGGGTGCCGGCAGGATGCAGGCAGCAGCACCCAGAGGTATCAGAGATGCCCACCCTGGCATGGCACCCCCAGATAGAGCCGCAGGAGGGGTCAGCAGTGGCACCAAGCCTGGGAAAGCAGCGATGGGCAGAGCCATGTCCCCATGGCACCGTGGTGGTGGCACACTGGGAGCTCAGGGTGTGCCTGAGATTGGGGGGACTGAGAAATTAAAGTCTTTCTGTGAAAGGAGGGGGGGGGGTGTTGCACCCCAGGTGCAGCCCTGGGGCGGTAATGCTGCAGGGTGGGTGTGCGAGCATGGCCTGGGATGTGGGGCCGGCTGGGGGATGCCATCCCTAAGGGCTTTGGGGACATTGGCGCTTTGGGGGGACCCTCCTTCGTCCTTGTCCCTGAGGCTGGGGCAGCATTGATGGAGCTGGGGATTGCAGTAGATGATGGTGGTGGCCCTCCTGGCCCTGAGAATCCGGGGCTGGGGGGCAGCCCCCACCCACGCAGCCCCTGGGGCCATCCCAGCTCAGAGAGGCCCTGCTGGGGGACATTGCTACTGCCTGGGGACACTGGTCCCCACATCCACCCCTGCCCACCCGGGCAGCCCCTTCCCCACCTCCCCCAGCATGAAGCCCTGCAGCAGCGCCATAGCCCAGCTGGGCTGGCTCCCTCCTTCTTTCTCCTCCTTCTCCTTCTCCTTCTCCTTCTCCTTCTCCTTCTCCTTCTCCTTCTCCCTCCTTCTCCCCTTCTCCTTCTCCTTCTCCTTCTCCTTCTCCTTCTCCTTCTCCTTCTCCTTCTCCTTCTCCTTCTGCT